GAACTATTATACAAATAGGAGCCCAATCATACCTTTCATTACTCTTGCCTTCAAAGTTGATACAATAGGCCAATGAAGTACTATGATCACAGCAATTTGAGGTAGTAATTATTTACAAAATGTCTATCCGATTTGAAGTCAGCATCTACAACAAGAAAATGGCAGTAGTTACCTTCAAGGGGTTTCATTCCTCACTTGGTCTCTATCTTATTTGTGACTAATCATTCACTAAAGGTCAATATGCAGTTATTTTTCTTGTCCAAAAGAGTGCAGTAGAAATATCCTCTTGTCACTAATTCGCTCTTAATTTCATGACAAACTACTTCAGCTTCATGATTATTCATAATCTAAAACACTCAATTTGATTTTTCCAGGTACACCTCCTAACAAGCTTTGATGTGAGCTGTTTTATAAATTATCAAATAATTGAGTAAGTGTCATAGCCAGTCAAATCAACATTAAGGAAAGTTCCACTCCTCTACCTTACAATAAACTAGATTTTGACTATTAGCATCCATTATTAATAGACTGCCAATTCTGGAGTAGCAAGTATAGTTAAAATATGAAGGGAGAATACAAGGAGAGAGGAAGAAGGGAATAGGTAGAGGGGATGGAATAATTACGTAACCATCAGCCACATTCAAAAAGTAAAGTACATATGTGTGTATGTATGTATAAGGTCAAATTAGTGTAACTTAAAAAGTTTGATTTAAAGTTCCACAAACCCCAATGGTTTAGAAGTTTATTTAATTGGCAAATTAAAACCTACATTTCAACTTCAAGTAGTTCCACTCCATTAACTGGTGAATCAAGATACAAGTATTGGTAGAAATTTATGTCTTGTTTTAGATCAAAATTTATGATACAATTTATCAAATCATGAATTATTTCAGTTAAAGAAAAACATCTTCAATTAAGAAAATTCATCCAAGCAGAATAGCATAAGTTCAAATGAGCTAAAATTATTACATACATCCAGTCTGCACACAGTATAACTCATTGCTGCAGGAGGATCTTCATCAATCATACCAAAATTCCCATACCCTTGAATTAATGGATATCTTAAAGAGAAATCCTGCAAGAAAAATCATGCAGTGAATTTCACATAAATGAGAGAAGTGATTTACATTTTCTCTCATTTTCCCCAGAGAAAAAAGAAAAGGAGAGAATATCATTGATTTGAGAAGAATAATTAAAAAGAGTGAACCTGTTTTCCAGAAATGATAAGATCTAAAGGATCACAAAAGCAGTCTTAAACATAGTTGTTGAGCAGCTCCATAATAAAAAGCTATTGGAGAACTCAAAAGTAAATCCAATAGAACAAAATTAACCCAAAGTCTCTTCTCAATTTTAGTGAGGAGAAAACCAAGAAAAAAAATGTCCTTTAAAGCTTCAATGATGTAAGCCAAGCAATCGAACTCAATCCCACAAAAGTGTCCTTAAAATTCCATCATTTACCTGTGCCATTCAAACCAAGGATTTATATATAGTAGTATCTCCATATATAAGCAGGAACCAAAGAACAAAAGTTTATTAATAGTTAAAAGAATGCAAATGAAATTGTTGTGCGTGAAACAGAATTCAAACCTATCAATCAACACTCACAAACACAATCACAAGACTTAAACTACCAAGAACACAATCAAGAACACAAGATTTTTACCGTGGTTCGCTTATTCCAATGGAATAAACTACGTCCACGTTGAGCTCCAAGCAAATTGGGAGTCACTGCACTATAAGGATCAAAGTATTACAAGTACAACTCAATCACAACCCAAATCGCTCAACTCTTACACTTATACAACAATCACTCGAACCTCCCTGTAACCACAATAAGCTAACCCAAAAAACTGAAAGCCTATACCAGAAACACCACTCTGTAATTTCTGATTACAAGATTCACAAGAAAACCTGATTACAATGTTCAAAGAGTAGAAAATAAGAAGACTAAAACTGTTGTAAAACGCGTGAAAGAAGAAGATGAAACTGTTGTGTAGATTTTCCAGATTTGCTGCTTTTATACTTTGACTTAATGAGCTAATAATGGCCATCATTTGACATGCAGTAAGTTCAAGCAGTGCTTGAACTTAATCGGAGTGACTACCTTTGTTCCCATGTTAGCAGGATTGTCTTCAGTTGGTACCTTTTTCAGGCTGATCACTCCTTTCTCAACTAGCTCCCTCACAAAGTGGTACTTGACATCAACATGTTTGGTCCGTTCGTGGTACACCGGATTCTTGCACAAGTGGATGGCACTTTGGCTTTCCGAATAGACAGTAACTGTACCATCCAGCAACTCTACCTCTGATAGTAATCCTTGGAGCCAAAGGGCTTCTTTGAATACGTCCGTGACAGCCACATATTCTGCCTCGATGGTGGACAGTGTAACAATTGGCTGAAGCTGGGACTTCCAGCTCACACAATTTCCCCCCAAGGTAAACAAGTATGCAGTAGTTGACTTTCTTGAGTCCTTGTCACCTGCAAAATCAGAGTCTACAACCTACAAGATCAAGTGAGTCAAATCTTTTTCCATATTCCAGACCAACATTTAACGTACTGTTAATATACCTAAGCAACCATTTGAGGGCAAGCCAATGCTCAAAACCAGGATTTGACATAAATCGGCTTAAAAGGGAAATTGCAAAGGAGAGGTCTGGTCTAGTGCTGATCATGGCATACATAACAGACNGATGTAGAAGAAATAAAATATTAAAGAAGGAGAATTGGAATATGGAAAATTGCAAATATGAATTGAAAATTGCAAAAACTAATAAAAATTAAAATAAGAGCAAATTGATAACAAAGAGATTAAGAGAATAATTGAGAGATTTCAATAGAAATTAGAGATTAGAGAAAATGAGAGGTAATTTGATTTGTGAGAAAATATGAGAGTTTAGGGCCAATTTATAAAAAAAAAAAAAATGACGAAAAAGACCCCTCCAACTGTTATAAAACGACTATATTTCAAAGGTAAAAGGGGAATTCAAAAAAACAAATTAATTTTTTTTTTTTAATTTTTTTTCGACTAACCCGCAGGTCAACCCGGCGGGTTGGCGATCCTTTCTTCAGAAAGGACAAAATAGCAACCCGGCACGCCCAAGGGTTGCATGCGGGTTTGGTTCAACCCGGAGCGCCAATATGGCAGTCCTGGTTGAACCCTCTTTAATGCGGGCTGGGTTAGGGTTAACCCGCCTAACTCGGCCCATTTGTTTCACCTCTACTTCCAATCTCAACCACCATCATGAATCCAAAAATAAATCTCACGAAGATCACAAACAAAGCAAGGGGTGAAGAAATGTTGGATTCTCACCATAGACGAAACACAGACGGTGAACAACAATGGTGAAGATAAGCAACGGTTAGGTGAGTGGCCGATTTATTTGCACTCATTTCCATTCTCTTGTTCTTTTCTTCCTTTCTTGTTGGTTTCAATGGTTGTTTCAAAATGCTTTGGTTGTAGAAGCTACCTTGAATAGATGCAATTGAAGAGATTGCATTTAAATGTTTATGTTAATGTTCAATTTGAGTGAAGGGTAGCTGATGTCAAAGGTTTTGTTTGTGTATTTTAGTAATGGGTTTTGATTACACGCTAACTATCTGTAGTAATGTCCAACCATCTACAACGGTGACCACCACCGAGCTCAGCCACATTTTAATCAAGCACTTCCTTCCACTGAAGAGGACAAGCCTGTGTGTGAGGAGCCTCATAAGGGTGTCGCTGCTTCAACCCAAAATGTAACTGTTAGTCCAATTCGCAAGGTGCTTCGTTCTCATGTTCGTTTTGTTTGAGTCCATGTATGCAAAAATTTCAAAAATTTCAAACCTTTGATTCTTTCTTTAATTGGATTGCTTCCGGATTCTTAGTTCTGTTTTAACAATACTTTATCTTAGTAAATTGTTTTTCTTTGCAAAAATTCAGATTAATATGTATGAAACCAGTATTTGGAATTATTAATCACTACTTCCAATAATTCAGCACCGAACTTAGTTAGAAATCATAAATCTAACGTACAAGAAATAAGAAATAGATTAGAGTTCAATGGGAAATTTTGTCAATGTATCTTATATCCATGAGCAATGATATGCTTACAATTGAGTTGTATAACTGAGTCATACAAATAGACAAAAAACAAAGGACAAAGTAGTTATTTTACATAAATTCTGTGCAATTTTTTGTTTCCTTATTCTAATTAATTAGTAAATTTAATTTAGAATGATTTTAAATGTCGATTTAAGTAATTATTTTGTTTTTATATAATTTATAGCTTCATTGATTGGTTTTCAATTATTCAAATTAATATAGGATTAAAAAAAAATTAAGTAGGGCTATTAATGACAATTAGATACAATTATATCTAATTAAAATGAGAATATTATATATATATGTTTGCTTATTATTTTAGAATTTTTTTTTTTTTTTTTTTTTTTTTTTTTTGTTTTGCCGCCAACTTGTGATAGATTTCTACAAGTTTATAAAGTAGCATGACAAGAAAATCATGGTTTTATAGTTTTTTTGCTGTGCCAATTTGTTTTCTATCACAATCATGAACAATAAATGCAAATAGGTTATATTTTTTCTTTCCACAACTCTAATCAATATTTAAAATGTTTTTTTCTTGGTTTATAATTTTTTATCTTATCTCTAACTGGGAATTTTCCTCATTGACTTATTTATACCAGGCAACTCGTCACACATTTCTACAAGTTTAGAAACTTTGCACTATAATCAAGCAAAAACAATCAAATATTATTTCATTTCATTAGTTACTCTGCCAAATTTGGTTTCTCAACAATATATGGAAATAGGTTAAGAATTGTTTTCACAATATCTTATAGATATCATTAAAAATATTTGGAAATAGGTTAAAGGATTCTTTTACAACTTTTGATATAGTAGTTCTGACGGTCAAGGATGAATTATATATATTCCATATGGGTTTGATTTCAAAATTCTGAATTCCATATACAGAGTGTATTAAGGGACATTAGTGGATGTCAATGGCTGAAAGATTATATTCAATATCACCCTGGAAGAAGAAGAATAAACAGTTTTACAACCTAATGTCTATATAATTATACCATCAACTAAACCACAAGCAAATAGATAACAATCTAAGCTTTCAATACGTGAAGATGACAGAAGAACAATGGAACTTTATTGTCTAAGGCTTCAGAATTTCATCTCCCGGATTATCATTATTGTGTTTTTCTCCATTCATGAGTGGTGCTGTTGATGTGGGGGAATCCTTGGAATTGCAGGGCTTTGATGCTTTTGGTTCATCGGATTTTGATTTTAATCTGAAAGTAAACCTTTTCGGGAAAATGTTCCAGCTCCCTTTTGTCTTCACCATCTTGTTGATCTCTTGTTTCATGTTCGAACACTCTTTCTCAAGCTCAGAAATGCGATCTCTCACGTCATCCATTGCAACAATGTGATCTTGTCCATTTCTTGCTTGGACATGGGCATCATTTCTGGTGAGTGCAAGATTCCCACTTGCATTTTGCGAGTTTTCAAGGTTATCAGATACAAAGAACCAGCCAGCTATAGAGGTACGAAGACGAAGTTGTTCAAAGAACAGAACTTGGACAATAACTCGAAGAGGTAGCCTCTCGTTCTGCGCTGCGTGCGTGCTGGCTTCCAGGGAAAGCTTCTGGCAGTTCATGAGCCGGCATATCTGTTCCCTCTCAGAATCCGTAAGCCAGGGATGGGCCTGAAGTTTAAATAGACATTAGCATTTTACACAAAAGAGATGGGAAAGCACATTAAAGAAAATGACTAATAATGGAAAGTCTGGAATTCTGCTCTGTATATTCTGGTCCCGAGAATGGGATGACTAGTAGTCTGTTTTCTAAAATACTAGATGGTCCTCACTAATAATGAAATTTGGCATATCATTGATAAGAAACCGAATAAAAGATCCATTCTTACCTTGAGATATATATCAATTGCACGGTAGATTCCATCATCTAATGGCCTGGCATAGTCAGGAATAACAGCTGCAAGTGACTGAAATTTTGGTAATTTCAAGTTTACATCAGGTGCTACCTCAGCTAGGTATCCATCAACCAGGTTAGCCACCATTGTCATTGGAGTAAGTGAATGAGCACCACCAATCAATTGCCCTTCATCAACTATACAATTTGAATCAATTGTATCATGATTGAACAGCATGAAGTTGTCGAGAATCCGCTGAACACAGTCAATATCATAAAGGTTCTCCACTGAGTACCCCATATTGGGTATTAGAAGATCTTCAAGAGCTGCTTGATCCATCTGGGCTCCAATCCGTTTTTCTAAATTCTCTCGACATGGTGGGCTAGCATGTAAAATCATTGATGTGCGTAGAAGCCTAAGCAGAAACTTGGTTGGTGTGACATTCTTTTGATCAGGAAGTAACTGCACTAATTCTTCAAGGAGATTCCTTTGATCAGATTCAGATGGGGTAGAAGTAGTTGATCCAGGGGCAACATGGTTCCCATTCTGGAAACTTGATTGTCTACCCAGTAAGGGAAGATGCCGGTTTGCATAGTGGATGATGGACCCAGCAATACTGTCTGGCCTTATGCCGCTCATTCCAACAGCCATAATAAGCCTTTTATATAGTGGTAGTGTAAGGAAGGAAACATCCTCATACCACCAATCCTCAGTTACAGTTTGTTGCTTGGCTGGTATTCTTATCCCATTCCATATCATCGTGCCGCCTGGGCTCTGCACATCAGCGCTCCCAGACATAGGCCAACTGAACAAACTTGGATCGGCACAAGCCTTCATTGCCAAGGAGTTGATGCATCTTGAAACAATATGAAGCTCTTCAGCATGCGGTAGAACCTCTTCACACTTTTCAAGAGCTCTAAGTGAGTCTGTCCAGTTACCAAAGACTTCATTAAGAAAATTTTCTGTTTGTACAATCAAATTTCCTTCTCCATAATCGTCACTCATTCGAAGATATTCAGCAGCACATCTTAGACCTACTACATTTGATGCAGTGAGATCTATTTTTACACCATAACAGAATTTGGCTACAAGCAAGAAGGCTTTGGCTCCACCAGGTATCTCATGAAGTTGTAAAACACACTTTTTCACAGCCTCACCAGAGAATTCTGCAATTAGATTCTCTAATACTCCACTTCGAGACAGCAATGGAAACTGGTGTGCATTACAAAAGGAAATGAGTCACACACAGTCCACCAAGCAAAAAATAAAAATATGAACAGCTACAAAGCAGAAACACAATCATATAACACTCGAAAAATAGGAAGTTCCAGATACAAAGCTCAATAGTTTAAAATAAAAATAAGATCAATCCTATTTTCACAATAAGAGACAGACATTTTTGGTTACTTCCTTGGTGAAACATTCGAAAACCGTGAAGCATGATATGTCAACTAAAGGGAATTGAGCCTCACATTAACACTTGAGATATTTCATCAAGCCTCACCTCAATGGGAACCATGACAAGGCCTTGCTCACTTTCAAACAGTGAAATTTACACTCTATGGGCATGAGCTACCAAAATATATGACAGTTTAGAGTAATGAAATGAAGCTCAGGGTTGGACAAGTAACACACCTTGTGGAGATGGAACGACCACTCACAAACTTCAATGATGACATCGCTTGGAAGCCCAGATGAGCATAGCCTGTAAAGAAGTATAATAGGCTTGACTAAATAGATACAACAAAGTAGAATTAATATAACTTGCATAAAAGTAAAAGCAGAAACTCAAGTACTGAGAAGAGATGTGTCCATTAATTGATGGCCTCAACCTTGAATTTAGCATCTATGTGCAGAGGTTAAAGTTACTCAGAACCAGGAAACACATTTATAGGCCAGCAGCCCGTCACATAATAATCAACAATCAAAATCATCAAAATATGAAATAAAACGAAAGAAGATGGAACTACTTTCCTATTAGTTGTAGCAACTGCAAGAAAACATATTTGGCATTTTCACAACTATTTTAACAATCCAAATATTCTCTTAATTGATATATCTGTTTCTTTCTCTATCTTTATTACTTATAATTGTAAAGCAAGAAAGTCAACAAGGCTATTAACTTTGTATTACATCACACAGGTGAGATCACCCATTTAGCATTTCTGATGAAGCCCATATAATCAACTTCTTCACTTGTTTCACTGGAAAACCCAATTGAATATCCAAATATCTTAGTTTCATGTCCAACCAACAGTAATTTCTTAAAGCCTAATGATCACATCAAACTTAATTCTGCAGTCTCAGTTTTCTGATCCAAATTTTTCCAACTCTAAAACCCATTTCTGCCAAATTGAAAGTATAAATCACTGCACATAAATTGCATCCTATCAAATTTACAGTTCAGTTGGCATAGATTCATTGAATCAGAAAATCTCCTCCACTCCACGTATTCAATACATCTTTCCTCTCCAACCAGCAGGTTTCACAAAAAGCTAAAATATTTCAAAATTTCCTTGCAATGTACATATAATAAGCTCAAACTTGAAGCTAAAAATGACACAACCGCAACACTATTATTACTGAGCCCCAATTGCAGGTAAATAAATTCAGAAACAATCCAAACAAACTCACGCATTGAATTCTTAAAGTCTGCCTAGTCGATCAATTCCTCGTAATTCACAATTCATAACTATAGAAAAAAACGCAATAAATTGTACCCAAACAGGAAAAAAAAACAAAACCACCCCATTAATTTTTTCAATCAAAAGATGAAAAAAAGACAAACTGTCAGGTCCAAAACTGAAAACAAAAACAACCCATAAATCGAATTCCACTGATATCACAAACCCACATTCTCAATTTACCATGTAAACACAATGTAAAACAATCAATCAAAAAAAGAAAAAGAAAAAGCAATAAAATGAGACAGACCAGGTTTCGCCATCAAGATGAAACACTTCAGACTTGGATCCCAGCTTCATGCACGCCATGTAATATTGTTATCCACTTTTAACAACACCACTTTTTTTGTTATCATTAAAAAGAGTTGTTTCAAGTGTGTCAAAAGACATGAACACGAGAAAACATAAATAAGGAGAAGAAAAGCAATAGCAAATGGTGATAATGATGAAAACAAAACCAAAAAAATAAAAAAAATTATGGTTTTATTACTCTTTTTTTTTTTTTGTTTGTTTGTTTGATGGTCCCGAGTCTAAAGGGGAAAATCCAGGAGCAGAATCAGTCGCTGCTGTTACAGGAGCAAGGCAGTGCTTGGTAGTGAGTAATTAAGCGGTTAGTAATATTTATTATTTTACTTACTGATAAATGTTTGTTATTGAATTTCTGGTTCGTGAATCAAATATTATACGTTTTCTGAATCAATTCTTGTACGTTTATTCTATCATCAGCTTATGATAACTCAAGTGAAAAGTGTAACAATTTGTTATTGCTACTCTGTAATTTCTCTTAATAAACCCATATATAAATTAATCCCGTTAAATTTTTTTAACAAATCTAAATGTTTAAATAAATCTCATCCATTTACAAACTAACTTCATCGTTATATTTTGAATTTTTTTTTTTTTTTTTTTTTTTTTTTTTTTTTTTTTTTTTTTTTTGCCGCCAACTTGTGAAGATTTCACAAGTTTATAAAGTAGCATGACAGAAAATCATGGTTTTATTAGTTTTTTGCTGTGCCAATTTGTTTTCTATCACAATCATGAACATAAATGCAAATAGGTTAATATTTCTTTCCACAACTCTAATCAAATTTTAATGTTTTTTTCTTGGTTTATAATTTTTTTTTTTATCTACTCTAACTGGGAATTTCTCAGTTGATTATGTATATTTCATTTCATTAGTTACTCTGCCAAATTTGGTTTCTCAACAATATATGGAAATAGGTTAAGAATTGTTTTCACAATATCTATAGGTATCATAAAAATATTTGGAAATAGGTTAAAGGATTCTTTTACAACTTTTGATATAGTAGTTCTAACGGTTAAGGATGAATTATATATTCCATATGGGTTTGATTTCAAAATTCTGAATTCCATATACGAGTGTATTAAGGGACATTAGTGGATGTAATGGCTGAAAATTATATTCAATTCACCCTGGAAGAAGAAGAAATAACAGTTTTACAACCTAATGTCTATATAATTATACCATCAACTAAACCACAAGCAAATAGATAACAATCAAGCTTTCAATACGTAAGATGACAGAAGAACAAGGAACTTTATTGTCTAAGGCTTCAGAATTTCATCTCCCGGATTATCATTATTGTGTTTCTCCCATTCATGAGTGGTGCTGTTGATGTGGGGGAATCCTTGGAATTGCAGGGCTTTGATGCTTTTGGTTCATCGGATTTTGATTTTAATCTGAAAGTAAACCTTTTCGGGAAATGTTCCAGCTCCCTTTTGTCTTCACCATCTTGTTGATCTCTTGTTTCATGTTCGAACACTCTTTCTCAAGCTCAGAAATGCGATCTCTCACGTCATCCATTGCACAATGTGATCTTGTCCATTTCTTGCTTGGAATGGGCATCATTTCTGGTGAGTGCAAGATTCCCACTTGCATTTTGCGAGTTTCAAGGTTATCAGTACAAAGAACCAGCCAGCTTAGAGGTCGAAGACGAAGTTGTCAAGAACAGAACTTGGACAATAACTCGAAGAGGTAGCCTCTCGTTCTGCGCTGCGTGCGTGCTGGCTTCAGGGAAAGCTTCTGGCAGTTCATGAGGGCCTATCTGTTCCCTCTCAGAATCCGTAAGCCGGGATGGGCCTGAAGTTTAAATAGACTTAGCATTTTACACAAAAGAGAGGGAAAGCACATTAAGAAAATGAATAATGGAAAGTCTGGAATTCTGCTCTGTATATTCTGGTCCCGAGAATGGGATGACTAGTAGTCTGTTTTCTAAAATACTAGATGGTCTCACTAATAATGAAATTTGGCATCATTGTAAGAAACCGAATAAAAGATCCATCCTTCCTTGAGAATATAATCAATTGCACGGTAGATTCCATCATCTAATGGCCTGGCATAGTCAGGAATAACAGCTGCAAGTGACTGAAATTTCGGTAATTTCAAGTTTACATCAGGTGCACCTCAGCTAGGTATCCATCAACCAGGTTAGCCACCATTGTCATTGGAGTAGTGAATGGCACCACCAATCAATTGCCCTTCATCAACTATACAATGAATCAATTGTATCATGATTGAACAGCATGAAGTTGTCGAGAATCCGCTGAACACAGTCAATATCATAAAGGTCTCCACTGAGTACCCCATATTGGGTATTAGAAGATCTTCAAGAGCTGCTTGATCCATCTGGGCTCCAATCCGTTTTTCTAAATTCTCTCGACATGGTGGGCTAGCATGTAAATACTTGTGTGCGTAGAAGCCTAAGCAGAAACTGGTTGGTGTGACATTCTTTTGATCAGGAAGTAACTGCACTAATTCTTAAGGAGATTCCTTTGATCAGATTCAGATGGGGTAGAAGTAGTTGATCCAGGGGCAACATGGTTCCCATTCTGGAAACTTGATTGTCTACCAGTAAGGGAAGATGCCGGTTTGCATAGTGGATGATGGACCCAGAATACGTCTGGCCTTATGCCGCTCATTCCAACAGCCCATAAGCCTTTTATATAGTGGTAGTGTAAGGAAGGAAACATCCTCATACCACCAATCCTCAGTTACAGTTTGTTGCTTGGCTGGTATTCTTATCCCATTCCATATCATCGTGCCTGGGCTCTGCACATCGCGCCCAGACATAGGCCAACTGAACAAACTTGGATCGGCACAAGCCTTCATTGCAAGGAGTTGATGATCTGAACAATTGAAGCTCTTCAGCATGCGGTAGAACCTCTTCACACTTTTCAAGAGCTCTAAGTGAGTCTGCCAGTTACCAAAGACTTCATTAAGAAAATTTTCTGTTTGTACAATCAAATTTCCTTTCCATAATGTCACTCATTCGAAGATATTCAGCAGCACATCTTAGACCTACTACATTTGATGCAGTGAGATCATTTTTACACATAATAATTCAAAAGAATCATAGCTAAACTAGAGTCTTCGAGTTCTTGATCTGTACCCTTCAACACTTAGGTCAGTTTCAAGAACTTATCAATATTCTCATCAATAGTCCTAGAGCTATCCATTTTATATGCAAATAAAACACCTTTTAAGTAAGCTAGATTAGGAGCAGATTGTAATGCATAAAGAGATTCGAGTTTACCCCATACCGTTGTCGGAGTTTCAAAACCGTCTACCTTTCGCAAGACTGCATCGGAGAGGTTCATGATTATCAGATTGTATGCCTCCTCCTCTAGCTCTGCCTTCTTTTTCAGTTTCTCCTCTGACCATTTGGTCACGTCCTTCTCCAGTGCAATGGCTACCTTGTTATGAGATAACAACGCCTTCATTTTCTTTTTCCAACTATTGAAATCAATTTTCCCATCAAATTGGGTGATTTCGACTCTTATAGTAGTCATAGTGACGAATTACTGTTTGGATCTAGAATTGACACAGAAACCCTAATCGTGGTTAAGGTTGAATTCGAACTAATTTCACGAAATTGATCGGATATTCTAAGGTTTTCTAAGCCCTAAGCCACTAATTTGACTGATTATACCAAAACCCCCAATTTGTATAAACCCTAGGTTTCAAGAATCACTCAAATCAGAAAGAATAAACCCTAATCTCATTCTGATACCACTGTTGTGCGTGAAACATAATCCAAACCTATCAATCAACACAAACACAATCACAAGACTTAAACTACCAAGAATAATGATAGCAAGATCAACAACAGCCTATAATGTAAATAGGGCATGTCAGTTCACTAGTGCTAATTCCATCTTCCCCAACAACTCTAGCACATTTTTTGAAGGGATTCCTCGATGAAAGGCCCCCAAAAGAGAATATGGGAAAAGTAATATTAGTCGTAGACAAATAAATCCTTTAAATAAAATTGGAAAAGAGATAAAAGCACCACCAAGGCAACTAAACTTCAAGGCATATCAATTTCAATATCAAATACATATACAGATTTATATTAGAATGTGCATTTTAAATGCTAATAAGTTTTGCACCTCACATACTAAGTTTAGATATAATCACTTTTTTTATAACACACTGCAATCATATTAATATACAAAAATATCTTTTTGAATATCTCCCAATATGGTACCATAAACAAAATATTATCATTTACCTGTTCCTGTGACATTCCAACCAAGGACTCATATACAACAGCATCATTATTTTTATCATAGTTATCTCCATGTTGATGAAATTTAGCATAGACCTGTAAACAAAGAAGCTACCTTGAATAGACACAATTGAAGAGATTGCATGTTAAATGTTTATGTTAATGTTCAATTTGAGTGAAGGGTAACTGATGTCAAAGGTTTTGTTTGTGTATTTTAGTAATGGGTTTTGATTACACCCTAACTATTTGTGGTAATGTCCAACCATCTGCAACGGTGACCACCATCGAGCTCAGCCACATTTTAATCAAGCACTCCCTTCCACTGAAGAGGACAAGCCTGTGTGTGAGGAGCCTCATACGGGTGTTGCTGCTTCAACCCAAAATGTAACTGTTAGTCCAATTCGCAAGGTGCATACTTTATGTTTTCTTATTTTGTTCTCATATTCGTTTTGTTTGAGTCCATGTATGCAGAAATTTCAAAAATTTCAAACCTTTGATTCTTTCTTTAATTGGATTGCTTCCGGATTCTTAGTTCTATTTTAACAATACTTTATCTTAGTAAACTGTTTTTCTTTGCAAAAATTCAGATTAATATGTATGAAACCAGTTTTTGGAATTATTAATCACTACTTCCAATAATTCAGAACTTAATTAGAAATCATAAATCTAATGTACAAGAAATAAGAAATAGATTAGAGTTCAATGGGAAATTTTGTCAATGTATCTTATATCCATGAGCAATACTATGCTTACAATTGAGTTGTATAACTGAATCATACAAACAGACAAAAAACAAAGGACAAAGTAGTCATTTTACATAAATTTTGTGCAATTTTTTGTTTCCTTATTCTAATTAATTAGTAAATTTAATTTAGAAT